GGTGAACGAGAATGTTCTGGAAAGTGATTTTGAGCCTCTCTGTGAGGTCACTATAATCAATTACATAATCAATTACAGATTAAAAAAAAAGTACTGTCCACTAATTTCCTTCTAGCCTCATAAAGAAAGCAGTTTTTTAAACAATAAAAGAACCACAATTTTGGTTTAAGATTCTTCAGCAGATTATCAATGTGTACATTAAAAGCTATTTTTTTATCTAACCATATCCCATAACCATATCTTTCAATGGTTGTTTTATCTAAAGTTGAAATTACCATATCTGTTAGGAGTACGACTAAAAATAATATATTTGTTCTTTTTTTAATTTAATTTCAACTGTAACAGTGAATGTTTTATTGCAATAAATGCATTCTGTAAATTAATCTGCATGCAGATGTATATTAGCGGAATCCACTCCAAGGCCTAAATCATTGATAAAAATAGAAAACAAAAGGGGAGCTAAAATGGATCCTTGAGGAGCTCCTTTTTTGACTTGATGGAATAGGGAACTATAGGTTTCTAAACATACTCAAAAAATATAGTTTCAAACCATTTTAGAGCAGCTTCACTAAAACTTAATGACCTAAGTTTCTGATACAGTAGATTATGGTCAACAGAATCAAAAGCTTTCGAAAGGTCAACAAATAATGCTGCACATTACTTTAAATTTTTTTTATTTTTTTTTACTATCTATAGAGTTTATAATGTCATTTGTAACTAGCAGAGCTGTGGTTATGGTGTTATGACCTGCTCTAATACCTGATTGGTGATCATTAAGAATATTATTTTCAGTTAACAATTGTTTTATTTGATAATTTAACAATGATTCAAATACTTAAGCTAAAACTGGCTAGATACCATTGTTTGAATCAACTGCATGCCATACTTTTTATGAAACTAAACAAGCTGAAAACACTCCTGAAAAACGTATTGCTTTTCTATAGCATTACGCCTCAAATGTCAACTACACATTGGTTTGAATTGTTCTTTAAATAAAAAAGTAAAAATATGCATGGTATCATAATGTTATACTAAATCTAAAATTAAAACAATTGAAAAAAAACCTTAAGATAACCTGTAGAAATAAAACACACACACACCTTTAGCATGCAGAATAATGCAAGTGAAATTTTTTTTTTGAGCCTTTGAACAATTATGTAATTGTGGGATCCATAATTGCAATCACGATTACAAATTCGATTAATTGTGCAGCCCTAAGAGAATTGACTTTAAGCACAGTATTTCTGCTATAATGGGGCTTAAATTATAAATGACAACTAA